ATAAAGAAAGAAACAGACTTACTTGGAAACCAGGCCCACAGGCCCGGCAGCTAAAATCAGTGGACCTGGTTCAGAAATCGTGCGACTAACTTTCTTATGTTCCTTAGAGTTTGCCGGACAGGAGTGACTAGTTTCAAAGTTGAGTTTGAATATTCGACAGTATAGGTCTAGGTCATAGGAAGTTATTCTAGGGGTGGGCCTCTAAGGTGTATGGTGATGGTATCATAGTTTGGAAGCCATAGGAATTGGTGTACGGTTAGGTTGGGCCGACTGGAGTCCTGCAATGGATTCATGGTCTGTGGGGGCTTAGAAATTAGGATTAAGATACTTACGGTTTCTAAGGGTCTTAGGACTAAGTCTATGGTGCAGCAGGGCTTCGCCTAGAATCTATGGCTTAGGGGTCCTGGAAATCGATGGTGGGGTCCCTACTTATATAGAAGTACCCTGGTAACTGCTCTAAAAATTGTGGCAAAATTAGGACCATTGGTCATCCGCGACAAAGGTTTTGCCACTAGCGTTAAAGGCTTTGATTGCAAACAACCGTGGGCCCCACAGTCACTTGTCCTCTTGTGTCCATTGGAGCATTTTTAGGACGTCGGTGTGAGTGTTTGAGGTCGTCTTAGTGGGATAACTTGCATAGGTTTAGGTTAGATTAGGTAATTTTTAAGTGGCTTAAGGCTTCATTAGGTAAGTTTAGTCCTGTTTTATAAGGTTTTAAGAGAGTATTAGCCTAAATTAGGAGGTTGAAGGAGGGCTTAAGTCATTTAAAAAAGGTTGTAAGTAAACTAGAGTTCCGTACAGTTCCAACTAAGGTAAGATCTCCTCAAAGGGAAGAAATTTGATGGCAAGAACTACAACATATGGCATCATAAGATTTACTACTTACTTGAGGATTAAGTGTGCTTGAACACTAGACCACTAGCACGACTCTCCCAAGGGATCTCTATTCAGGTACATTATGAGCTCAAAAGAGATCATTGTGTACACTTCATATTCATAACGATGTGTAGCGTGCAAAAAGACCTGAATAGATAGTTTGAAACTTATCTAACGACTAGGGAGATGTGGCGGGCATTGGAGCTCTATTTCGTTGCATCAGCCACTAAATTACGTGAACACACTAGTATTCGAGGCATATATGATGCCGCCAAATGTCTCCATGATGGAGCATTCGAGAAAATTGTCACAGATCATATATGATTTGAGTGTTGTAGGTAATATCACAAGCTACCAGCAGCAGATCATGGTGATCCTTAAATCACTTCCTCACTCTTAAAAAAGCATAAAAATTATGATAACATATGTTAAAACAATTGTTCATCTTTTTCATCATCTTGTAACATATGATGATGAAAATGTTGAAACAATTGCTCATCTTTTCTCGTCATCTATCTACTAGTGTACAAGGGCTAAGGGTAGTAAGAAATCCAAGATCAAGCCTAAGGGCAACAATCGTCCCTAGAAATAGGTAATGAAGGTTGAACGTGCTAAAGGCAAGAATGCCAAGTGAAGGGGAAGCAAGCATAAAGCTCTTAGGGCTCGTTTGGATAGGAAGAAATTAGGAATCCTAGATATTTGAAATTCAAGGAAATCTATGGATTTTCAATATTAAGGATTTTTATCATGGATTTCTCAATTGTCTTGTTTGCAATATCAAGGATTTTTATCATGGATTTCTCAAATGTCTCGTTTGGATAAACTATGCAAAATTCATGGATTCCTTGCTATCACTTTCATGTCCATTGTTAGGTAACAAAACTTGATACAATTTCTCTCTCCAAAATTTTTATATGCTTTGTCTCGCTAAAACTCAAAATTTGGGATAGCGTGTATCTATAAAATTTTGAGATAGTTTCTCTCTCTAAAATTTGATATGGTTTGTCTCTCTAAAATTTAATATACTCCCTATCCAAAATTTAAAATTTGAAAGTGTCTATCTAAATATTTTGAGATAATTTCTCTCTAAAATTTTTAGGTGCTTTACTCTCTCTAAAATTTAATATAGTTTTTCTTTCTAAAATTTTAAAATACTCTATCTAAAACTTAAAACTTGAGATAGTTCCCCTCTTCAATAATTTTGAGATAGTTTCTCTCTTTAAACATTTTTAAGTAGTTCTCTCTCTAAAATATGATATAGTTTTTCTCTCAAATTTTAAGATACTTTCTCTTTCTAAAAGCTAACATTTGAGATAATTTCTCCCAAAATGTTTTGTGATAGTTTCTTTTTCTAAAAAATTTTATGTACTTTCTCTCTCTAAAATGTGATATAGTTACTTTTTTAAATTTTAAGAAGCTTTCTCGCTCTAAAACTTCATGTTTGAGATGGTTTCTTTCTCTAAAATTTTGAAATAGTTCCTCTGTTTAAAATTTGATATTGTTTCTCTCTGAACTTTGATATACTTTCTCTCTCTAACGTTTAAAATTTGAGATACTTTCTCTCTCTAAAACTTAAATTTTGAGATAGTTTCTCACTCGAAAATTTTTATATCTTTCTCTATTTAAATATAGTATCTCTCAAAAATTTTAATATACTTTCTCTCTCTAAAACATAAATTTTGCAATAATTTCTCTCTCCAAAAATTTTGAGATAGTTTCTATCTCTAAAAATTTTTAGGTAGTTTCTCTCTCTAAAATTTGATATAATTTCGATTTTAAAATTTTAATATATTTTCTCTTTCTAAAATTTAAAATTCGAGATAGTTTCTCTCTAAAGCTCAAAATTCGAGATAGTTCTCTCTCTAAAAAAGAGATTTGATATAGTTTCTCTCTCTAAAACTTTTTTAGATAGTTTCTATTTCTAAAAAATTTTAGGTACTCTCTCTAAAATTTGATATAGTTTCTCTCTCTAAAAATTAAAATATAAGATTATTTCTCTCTCTAAAAATTTTGAAATATTTCCCTCTAAAAAATTGTGATTGTGTCTTTCTCTCAAAATTTGCATATACTTTCTCTCTCTAAAATATGATAGTTTTTCTGTAAAACTTAAAATTTGAGATAGTTTATCTCTCTAAAATTTTGAGATTAGCTTATCTCTCTAAAAATAATACTATCTCTCTATAAAATCATACTTTCTCTATCTAAAAGTTAAAATTTGAGATAGTTTCTCTCTCTTAAATTTTGAGATAGTTCATCTCTCTAAAAAAATTTGGTACTTTCCCTCTCTAAAATTTCAACATACTTTCTCTCTCTAAAATTGTGACATATTTCTCTCTTTAAAAGTTAAAATTTTTTATAGTTTTTCTCTCTACAAATTTTGAGGCAGTTTCTTTCTTTATAAAATTTAGGTATTTTTTCTCTCTAAAGTTTTCATACCTACCAAATGCTCCCTATGTTTCGGGTCGAGGGAGTCAATGAGTGAAATCCATCGGCCTTAGAAATGCAAAAAAATAGATTTTGGTATGGAAATGAAATCATGGAAAAGTAGGTCTTATTTTCATAATTTTGATTTTCTTAATTTAAGTATTTTAACCATTAAAAAATTCAAACGGTGGTTTTTGACAATATGAAATATATTAGGAATCCATGCACCCAAACAGGCCCTTAAGGAAAAGTCAACCTTGATCTATTTTGATTTTAAAAATTCCGATCATATCACTCATGAATGCACTGAACCGAAAAAAGCATAAACCACTCATCCCATTGAATTGTTAGTGTACGCATAGAGGTGCCAGTTGCTCGGCTCCTTTTTAACGGTTGGATTGTGGGCGCAGGGCTTGTTAAGCTTCACCAAGTTCTAGTGCAAGTGGAGAATATTCATGGGGAACATTGCCACTGATGATGTGTTCGATATGGGGCCCTACTGGTTACAGTTCCAATTTAGCCGAACTACGTTTCTTCGTGATGATCTCTATGGCAGTACTCCCTAGAAAGACATTTAGTTCCATTCTAGGCAATAAAGCAGAAATTAAACTTTAGGATCATTCCATTTTTAGTGGATTTTTAGTTCATGGGCTCTGTAATTTGGATATGGAATATTGTTTCCGTTCTCCTTCTCCATTTGTTAATGATATAGCGTTTTTCCCATTCTTCTTTTTCTTTTTCATCTGTGCAAGATGATTTGTCTTTAGTTCTATGATATGGCATGCCAGTCTTGGACATATAAGCAAGGATAAGATGACTAGATTAACTAACAAAAGATTATTAGGATCATGACCAAAGTAAATTTACCCACCTGTGCCCTGTTTGATAGTAAAATTTACCAGAAAACGATTTTCTAGGGCTCAAGATACATAGAAGCCTTAGAAATTTTTCTCTCAAACATAGGAAGTCCGTTAAATGTGATGGCCCCTCCACATATCCCGGTACTTTATTAGTTTCATTGTTAAGTACTCGTGTTATGGTAATGTGTACTTACGCTCACATAAATTTGAGATAATTGATTGCCTCAAGATATTTAATGTGGAGATTAAAAACCAGTCAGAAGATTATTGAGTTCTCAAAACTGATAGGAAGCAAGAGGACACCTCTGAACTATTTTTTTTCAATATAATTTCAGGGAGATGCTCTGTTGACTGCTGTGTACATCTTTAATAGGGTGCCTTGAAAATTTGTCTAAAACCCTACATGAATCATGAATTAGCAGAAAAAATAATTCTACATTTATGAGTTTACTACTCTATTAAATTTTTATTATGAGTTTAATACTCAATTAAATTTTAATTTCAATTTTTTTTTGTTATTCTTTTAGGATTTATATATACACTACATTTGCATATATGATCGTAGAGACGTGTCCACCCCATATTTTGTCTAGCGTACTAGACAATCAAATCCACGTACTAAATATGACACCCGAGTCCGTGACCATGTAATACTGGTTTAAACCCAGCGTATCTATCAAAATATAAAGAACTGACAAGAACAAAAAACATTATATTACCAGTATATATCTTATACTTCATGCTAAATCCATTACCTCCGAAACAATTGGCAACATAAGGACACTCTTAGGCGAGGTCCAGGCCTCTATTTTATGAAGACAAAACATGGTGAAGACCTCAAGCACAAAAGATAACATACTTCATACTAGCAAGAGATATTCTGTTTTAGGAACAAAGGAAAACTCTAATCAACATATTTGAGTTAAATCAAACAGCAAGTACTTACTGCAGTTCTTAGACAATTCAACATATAGGCAACATCCTGCAATGTTTCTTCTCTATACAGGTATGGATTGATCAACTCTACTCCATCCAAAGAATCATTAAACCCAATGAATGCAGTCAAGATTCTAAAATCCGACTCTCTTCCCACATTTTGCTGAGGATGCTCAAGGAGGTAAGAACTGGATGAGACAAAGGCATACCAACGCGCACATGAATCTATTCCAAGGACTCTATTGATTGACACATATAAAAGCACCTAATAATGGGTTAAGTAATGCTAATACCTACATTTCTAATAAAAAAAGGAATGCTATGGTGATCAAAGAAAAGCAATCAACTTGGGCAATTCAGCCTTGTTCAGGGGTACAAATATATGATCACTCTGGATAAAAAACTAAGCATATTTAGTGTCCAAACTGGACGTAAGGAACTCACAGCCACATAGAAGAAACCCACTTAAGGAACTATCTAGACCACATCCTGCCTTCCACAAATATCTGAATCAGTGACATTACCTCCTCCCAAAAATTCCCCAACCCGGCCAAAACAACTGACAGTAATAACATCTGCTAAACCTGCTACATAAAAGAGATCAGGGTAGGTTATCTACATCTCCAATAGGATGAATTTCTAACATATTTGCAGGAGACCATAAACATGGAGGCGTTGCATACTCCCCAACATATCATACTAGTACGGATATCCAATAACGCATTCTCTATTCTTCCAAGAAATCATCCTTCTTCGGTCCCTTCCCCTAAAAGACCTGGCAATAATTTTACCACCAACCGGCTTGCACAACCCAACATCAATCAAGGAAGTGGCTTTCCTAGCCTCAGGAAGTGATGATGCCTGACCCATCTGAAAATCAAACAGCATTGCAAGGCACTTTACTTGGTGGGCAAGAATGCAGTCATCGTGGTCACGAGGCAGCAACTTTAATATGTGAAGATTAACCTGCAAGAATACCAAGAAATTACAGGTAATAGATCCATTAAGCATGATATGAGTCAAACACATCAACATGGATATTTCCCAGTGCATGATGGTTACCTCTGCTTCCATGGCCCGAAGTTCGTTGTACCATTCGGATTTATCACATGCTATAAAGACATCTTGTGTCACATCAGGAGGCCGGCCTCTAAAGTCTCCTGTAAAAAGCCTTAAGGTAAAATATGGAGGCCTAAGAGGGTACTCCATACTGATCTTGACCTGCCAGGGAATAATATTAGAAGTCATAGAAAAGATCAAAAACAGGATAGTGGAAATGAAAGGAGAAAAAGCACTCCACTTTACTTACCCTTGCTTCCAAATTCACTTTTTTCTCGTCACTGTTCATTTGATAACTCAAAACCAGAATGAATTCTCTTGTAGCACTATCCTTCCAAGATTTCTTATCCTTCTTATGGCATCCAACACCTGAGGCATCTTCTGTTTCTGAGTCATATGCAGGCATATCTTCATCAGTTTCATCCTCCAGAATGACTTCTGAATATTCCTCAAGTGCTCCAAGCTTTCTAGGAGTTTGAGGCTTTCCTTTGCTGGGCATATTGCTTTTAGAAATAAAGTTTAGATCCTGACTATGCTCAAGATTAGACACTTTATGGATTGGAAGTTTAATCTCATTTGAAAGGGTTGAACCTTGTATTATTAATAATGGAAGTTCCCCATCTTCCCTAGTGCTCTCTAGTTCTTCTTTCAGTGTTCCAGATTTCCCATCATTTTCAGTTTCTAAAGATTCCAGAAGCTGTTCTCCACCAACTGTAGAAACAGATGAATCCCCTTCAGGTGTGAGATCTACGGGGAGCCAGCTGCTTAAAGCACACAAAGGGCTATGAAGAGCCCATGGAACATCTTCATATGTCAATGGAGGCCATTTGTGTTGTGCTAGTAAATCAAGTTGCTCCCTGTATGCCAATCAAACTTTTCAACTCAAGCTAATACCTAGTAGCAGTTGAAAAGAAAAAAATCATGAGAGAAACCTTCCTAGGGCCACAAATTTCAGTATATGCGTTGGATAAACTAGAACCAATAAAAAGGCATTAACCCTTTAGAGCCCTCATGACAAAAATCATGCAGCACCCCAATAATTACGCTCAATTGTGCCATATGTATCTACCAATTTGTAACATGAAGCACATGCAATATAACCTAGAAAATCTTTTCCTTTTATTTATGAAGTTAATTTGGATTTAATCATAATGTTGAATACAAAATTCTGTCAGAGGTGACAGGATGTACAAGTTTAATGGATAAGAAACTCTCCATTTCTGCACACAGAACAGGCAAAAAGTGTATACGCAAAAGATCCAGTGAAAGTTCCAGGAATTCTTGGATGGACAAAGCACTAATAGACAGGGGTTATAAATGTCCTCCTTGGACAAAGTGTCTGTAAGAGAATTTGATTCTCTCCAGGTGTTAGTGAAGGACAACTGAAGAGGGCAGCACAGGAAAGAGATGTTGTCGAACAATTGACCAAGTATCCAAGGGACAGACAGAATTTAAAGCCCAAGTAATGACGCTGCAGAAGTCGCCCAGAATGAGAAGCTGTGCGCCCCAGTGGTCATCAAAATGTCTCAATCCAATAAGGACCAAAGATTCAGCCATGCTGAAGTCTGTGTACCCATCTAGACCTGATTATGGCAATAAGATCTCATCTCAATGTCCCAGGAATAAACCCCAAACCCCTGCCAGACCAGGGTTTCCTAAAGAGCACCCGTTAAAGTTTAGCTTAATGATTCCTAGAGTTGGTAGCATCCAAACAGCAGATCTGGCGATGGAAGAGGACAGCTCCAAACAATATGTTGCACTGTGGAAGGATGTAGTGGAAGAGTATCAAAAAAGTTCCTTGCAAGAAAGGGCCGAGAAGGTGATAAATGGCTAGGTCCATTCACTGAGGACATGAATTATTCATTCAATGCTTTGGAAAGTCGGCCAATTTCTCTCTAACCAAATGAATCAAAATATAGAAGGTATAATTCACCACAAAGGGTTAGGCCCGGCTTATGGATGAGTAAAATAGGCAAATCTTGAATAGGCTGTCTATAGAGGCAACACTGACCCATTGGGAATCGAATAACAACACGGAGAAGGACCAAATTTGTGTAGCACTGTAGCTACCTGATAATGCAGGAAAAGGAGTCCCTCAGTTTCTTCCTCTTCACACATGCTGCAGCAGTTGGGCATGGGAGTACCTCTTTTTTGCATGTAGTCCAGTGTGAGCACTCTATTCAAGTATAACAGCCATTGGAAGGCTTGGATTTTTGGTGGGGCATGAATAGACCAGACTCTGGTGGCATGTACAGGTTTGGGGGCTTTTTGTGGCTAGGCTATTATACAAGGACATAACAGAGAAAATACCTGAAGATTTGGGACACCAATTGATTTTGTCCGGCACTAACCTATGTTGACAGTGGAATTCAGTATAGCCATGAGTGAGAGAAGCTCAGATTCCTTGTTAATGTGCAGATTGTGTCTGAACTGTGAAGTCAAACCCACCTGACCATCCAAGACTTCAAAGAGCTCAGTGATGATGACTTCAAGTCAATAGCGAGTTAGGCGATTCTAAGGAAGGCACTTTCAAGAGTGTTAGGCCCAAGCCAGAGGTCTTTCCAGAAACATATGCAGGCTGAACAAGTATTTAATAGGGATGAAGCCTCCCCATGTGCCATATAAACTAGTCTTGGTGATTGCTCCAGGTACCATCCTAGTGTATCAGTCCCATAGCAGTTGGTGCTGACGGAGTGCCAGAGCTGGGTGGAAAAATACCACCACCATTTGCCGAGGAGGGAAAATTGTTCTCCTTGAGTTTTCTGATTCCCAACGTTTCCGCCTTCTTGGATTGGCAGACTTTGTCCCCATTCACCTGATAATATTTGTGGGCACCTCCTGCACTGTTCCAAAGGAAGTCTCTCCTAAGTCTAAGTTTATGGATGATGGAAACAGGAATACAGAATAACAGATCTGCAAATAGGGATACCAGAGTGGGAAGTTTTGTTTAGGTATTTCTACTTCCGAGGGAGAGGTAGCTACAATTGCAGCTTGCAAATCTTCTTTCAAACATATCCACATGCCCATCTCATTGTTGTTTTCCATGGCTTGCTAATACATAGACGGCACCAAGGTATTTGGAGCAGAGATGGTCAAGGCCATACCCCAGTCTGTGCACCAAGATTCCAACAAGGTCATCTCCTTGGAGATCCCACCAATGATTTTAACCATGCTCATGCTGATATGAAGACCAGAAGCTAGTTTGACACACCTAAGAAAGAGCAATAGATTGTAGATATCTTGGGGGCTTGAGCTGTAGAATACGAAGTTTTCATCTATCACAGAAGAGAGATAGTTGGGCTGATTCAAGAAACTTGAAGAGAGAGAGAGGAGGCTGGTGTCTTACAAGGTTTTCAATGGAAAGCCTGAACATTTCAGCCATGAAAGGGTATAATGGGTCACCTGCAAGTAGCTCTCAAGATTTCTGGAGGAAGCCATGGGGAAAGCCATTAATAAGGATGGAAAAGGGGGTAGAGGATACCTAACAGTCAATCCAGGATCTCTAGACCTCCCTGAAACCCATTAAAGATAGGACATGATCTAGGATCTTCCAATCAACATGATCATAAAGCATTTTCAAAGACAATCTTACAAATGATCCAGGGGTTTTAAGATAGCACATTTTCTTAAAACCTTTGTGAGTTATCAAGGCCCCACTGCGGCTTTGACAGCCATGGACAAAAGCACCTTGAGCAGTGGAAGATCTACTAGAGGACAATGCATAGCCTAGAAGCAAGGACCGTGAAAACGATTTTTGTCAGAGATGTTAACAGGCTAATGGATCTAAGTCTAGGAGTTCTTCCACACCTTTTAGTTTGGCAATTAGAATAATAAAGGTTATGTACATGTTCATGTAGAATATACCCCCTTGATGGAATTCTGAAGAGTTCCATATCATCTGGCCTGTGCAATCCCAAATTTGACGAAAGATGGCCATGGGAAATCATCTGAGTTGAGAGACCTGCCATTGCGCAAGTCAGCAATGGCCTTGAGGACCTCTGATTCCAAGAGTGAAGCCTCAAAATAGTAGATTCTTTGGAGATGGTTCTAAACTGTAAGTTGAATAGGTTTAGGTCATCTCTGTCTTTGTTTGAGAAAAGATTATGAATAAAGCTTATGATTGCGATCAAGGTTTAAAACCAGGACTCAGGGTCAGGACTCGCTAGGTATAAAGCCCAAGTTGGACAGTTCAACTAGGTGTTTATAAAAAGAAAAACAAATCCATCCAAAACAACGTAGGACTTGGGTAAGTCCCAAGGTCCTAACACAGGAATCATCAACATCCAAAACCAAGCCAACTCCAATGAGTCCCATATCAAATCAGCGAGTTTTCAAACACTTATCATGTTAGCAATTTGTGTCCAATTGTCATAAGAGCAGCCTTTGCGTTTGATTTGTGTGATGGTGTTACTCCTGCAATTGGCAGTCATATGGAAGAAGGCGGTGTTGTTAACATCCTTCTCAGTTCATGCGATCAAGATATTTGAAGCTAAAACAGTCACTTCATGTTTAGGGTGGCCAAAAATTCAGACTTAGACATGATCCTTCTGGTACTATGTTTCTCCGATGAGAGGTCCCGTTGTTCTTCAAGTCTACCGAGAATGGTAATCTCCATCAGCAGCTTGCCCTTCACAAAAGTGGTTCTTAGTCCAAGTTTTGATTTTTCCTTTTAAGGTAGCATTCTTGTGGGCCAAAAACTAGCCTCGCCTTGAACCTAGAAGGATGATCACCATTGGGGATAAGGCAGAGATTTTGTCGATCTCAGGCACTACATGGGTACTGTGGATTGAAAGAAATCACAGACTTTTCAGGGGTGTGAGATCCACAGTCGATCGGTTGGCAGAGAAAGTGAGGAACCTAGTGGCTTTCTGGGCTACCAACCATAAACTCTTCAAGAACTCTTCTTTCACTGATTTTCACAGCAATTGGCCGAACTTATTGCACCTAGCCTATCCTAGAAGCTCGGGGGCCCCTTTGTGGAGACCACCTGAACCGGGAGCCATTAAACCCAATTTTGATGGTTGCTACAATGGCAACCCAGGACCCTCAGGATTATGTGGACTTTTTCGATCTAGTGATGGATGTACTCTGCTGTCATATTCGCATCCTATTGGAGTTGTGGACTCCACTCTTGCTGAGGCGATTGCCCTCTTGGAGGGCCTTCACAAGTTTGATCACACCTAGAGTCACAACCTCGTGATCACACTCTTGGGCATCTAATCACTCATCATGGCCATGGCATCTTAACAACATTTTTGACGAGCTTCTACATTTAACCCATGGCTGCAGAATTTCTTGGTGCCACGCCTATAGAGAAGCCAACTCAAACACTGATCAATTGGCTAAAGAGGGGGCCTACACCAACACCCCTTTGGGGACCCTAGGCTTTTGTGGCCAACTTTTCCACTTTTTCCCTTTCGTTTCCAGAACTTGGTTCTCGCTTTGTATATTTTTGGACCCTACAGGGCTTGTATAGGGTGACCTTTTGGGTCGCCATCCTTTTTGTACAATTTATTACTAAGTAATGCAATTATAGTGAATTTCTCTTGAAAAACAAAAAAGAAGGGATAGGGATCAATATGGGTTGCTTCACTATCAGGGAAAACCAAGGAGTGATCAGAGACAGGTTAGGAAGGACCCTCACATGGACACATGGGTAAGCCTCCTCCCAGGCTGAGCAAATTAGGAAATATCTATTTTGCACATCTATGAGGTTTAGTAGTTCATCAATGCTGAGAAACCATTCGTAGTAATTGTAATGCCACCACCCTCAACCCTCCATTTCTTTAGATTGACCAGCTCATGACATTGAGGTCACCACCTAAGCACAAGGGGAGGATGGAGGAGGTATGCATGGAGTTAACTTCATGTCCCCTGAACTCAGGTGGATTTCATCCGTAGACCACCACAGTGAAGTTCCAAGTGAATCCGTCAGAAAGGCAAAATAAAGAATTAGTTACAGAAAGATGACCAAATGCTTATTTGTAATGATAGGATTATCCAGAGGATCCAGATGCCACCAGAGGTCCACCAATTAAGGAGCGCAAACCATGCAAATTATTATTTGGTAATAAATTGAGTGAGCCTCTGTCAAAATTGGGGCATCCTACTTTGTCTCTAAGATGACAAGGATACCAAAAGAAATTTAACTAATGGAATTTATTTTCTAGAGGTCACCTAGACCCCAAATTTTCAAAGTGAGTATTCTCATGGGAGAAGGGCGTTATTGCATAGCAGAGGACTCTAGAAAGGGACCGGTGGAAGTAGGCATTTGCATCATGCCATTCCATGAAATGGATTTCTCATATTTGGTGTCACAGGAAAGATTCTTGAGTTCCCTATTACCCTTTCCTTTCCGTTTGACTCCTTGTATGTGGGAGGTTTTCTTTTGATGTTGTTCAGCTTGAAGGACACTGCGATATCTTCCATTTCGGTATCAAAAATGAGGCCCATCATGTATAGCATTTCCTAGACATTCCCCTCCACCCTGGAGATCATCGCAGTCTTCTATGAGTCTACTCATTTATTAGAAAAATCTGAAGACAAGGATAATGAATCATCTTCTTCCAAGCACACTATCCAAGGGCACAATAGGATGGAAGCAGGAGCAATGGGGAGGAGCATAGTCTTGATGGGTTGTTCCTGTGGAAGGGATGCAAAGTAAAGGGGCGCTCATAAAAGGATAATTGGTTTTTAGGAAATCTTATTTTTGCGAAAAGACCAAGGATGAGAGAGAGGAGGGGAATTGAGGTTAATTTTTGCGAGAAGACCATGGATGAGAGAGAGGAGGGGAATTGAGGTTGGGGATCTCACCATTGTGGCATGGGGGTACAGCACTACTGAGAACAGGTAAGGGTAAGGATCAAAGTGCCAGCAGCCAGCTGGAAAACAGGAAGAGTGGTAGGTTTGAGGCTGCTTTGAGGTGCCGAGTGTTTTTTTTTTTTTCCTTTTTTTTCTTTTTTTGGTTGGTTGGTTGGTTGGGAGATGGGGGTGTGGGGTGGGGTTTGGTTGATCAGGAAAATATATAGGGATTTGGGTGATGTCAGTGAAGGACAGTGGACTGGAAGGGTATAGAAGTGTAGGATAACAGGAAAAATGGATGATCAAACCCTAAGTTAGGACACGATGGATTAGATGGAGCGATGGTGATAAGTTGACAATTCGATGGAAATGAGATGGTGGCGGCGTCGAGATACATTGGAGGGTTGTGGTGGGTAAAGGTGGCTCCCTGGTAGTAGTTCCATGTAACTACGTGGAAGGTGGTGGATTCAGAGGGTGTGGGTGAGGTAAGCTCTAAGGCAGGTAAAGGGGAGAGATGGTAACGGACATGGGATGGAAGCCAACAGTCGAGCCGGGGGGATGAAGGGGCGAATGGCATGACGTAGAGTTTTGGAAAAGGGGTTGGGGACAACTGTTGTTCATGAGGGTGGCTAAGGGGTAAGACATGGCCGAATCATGAGGTTGGTAGCAAGAGGAGAGAACATCGGCAGGTTTATCAACTGTAGGATTTGGGGACCACACAGTCATCTTTTGAGATGGCCCTGTATGTAGATCTAAAAGGATTGAGATGAATGTAAATATCAAGCATAAAAAATTTGAAAATTCGAAGGGGCAGATTTTTGCTTTCCGAAACTGCTCCTCGGTGTCCGCATGTTTGTCTTTGGCTGATTTCAGATTGCGTACTATGATCCAATCAGCAGCTCTCACGCCCCATGAATTTCTGGCTTAATTTTCCGGTTGCCTGAAAGACGCAAATAAGGAGATTTCCAGTCATCCACCCTGACCATGATGAGTAAAGAAATCTTTGCTCCATCCTGGCCATGACAATCTGCCATCCGTCAAGATTTTACAGGGACAGGTAGCAGTCTGTTCTTGCTCTGTAGAACGTGCTAACAACCTCCACTTTCTGGAAATTCTAACATGCAAGTGTTTTCATGCGCATGCAGGGAAACGAGAAAACAAGGGGTTTGCTCGATCTGCTACAAGTGGAACGGAGCTTAGCATTAGCAAAACCCCTCCAACCAATCCTCTTGACCGTCCATAGAAGTTTCTGATCATTGCAAGACTTCAAGGTTCTAGACATGGAGAGGAATGCTCTTAGCCTGAACCCAGGCCTTTCCAGCTTTGTGGTGCCCTCTGCTGGTGACCAGAGGAAGAGATAGAGAGTAGCTGTCGTGAGATATAGACCCCTTCTATTTAGGAAATGGCAAGTCATCCTTATAATCTAGAGAGAGAAAGACCTTTTCATTCATAAAAGCATGACAAGAAACCTGAGTTTTCCACGAGTTATTCATCCAGGACGAAATGCTCTCGCCAACAAGTCTTGTCAACTGAAATACTCCCTCGAGGGAAGCTTTTGAGCGAGGAAAGATGCTAGGCGATGATGGTCTCTCTGATGGGCCAGTTACAGTAATATTCTAAAGGTGACTCACTAGGTTGCAGGGTGGTGATACAAGATGATGATGTTCCTGCAAGTGAGGTAGATCTCTGTTTTAGAAGTCGGATGTAAAGTTACTGGGTAAGGCAAATAGTAGCGGGATGATTTAGTCTGATGGCACTGTATGTGATAGGATGGAAAAGGGCAGGAATTAAGAGGAGTTAAATTGAAGTTAAAGACGGAGGAGCACAGAGAGAGAGAGCGTATGAAGGATATGGAGGGAGCTGTTGGGCTGGATGGAAGTAATGGTTTCCATTAAGGGTGCACGATGCCAATTGGGTAGGGCTTGAGGGCAAGGTTTCGCTCTCTCTCTCTCTCTCGTCATCCCGCTCTCATTCTAGCTCTCATGTAATTCCGATAAAAAAAATTCATTTTTCTTATTTTTTGGTACATAACAAGAAAATTTTCAGGGGTTCAAAATAAAATTCATAGAATAAGGAGACACTACTTGTCAGAAATTGTGGTGCCATTACATTTGTCAAGAACTATAAGAACAGATGGTCATTAAAGAACTACGAGTCCATCATCTATGCCAGCCAGGATTTAATGTCTAACACCAATTTATCCAACATTCATAAAGGTAGTGACTCACGAAAGAACCAGCTGGGCCTTCATTCGAGCCCGGATCCTTTGCACAACTGTCATTACTCGATGTTGATGACGATACATAGAAAGACCAGATTGAATGGCTGCAGTTCTTGGAGCATCGCAGATTGAAGTATAGCTATTAGTAAGAAAAGGCGATACCTCAGGCAAGAAATCAAAGCCAGCCAAATGTTGTGCCCATTTATAAGGGCATGACATTGTTTTCTTTTCATCAAATGCTACATCATCACCAACAAAGATCTTAGCAGTCTGCACACCAGTTCACAAATTTCAACATCAAAATACTAGGACAGTAAAAGTTTCTGAATCCAACAAAATATGAAATAAAAAGCTTCACTATAAAGGGAAAACCTGAGATGCATGAAAAACAATAGGGGTACCTGGTGAGGAAGCTCATTGCCAGTATCATCAGGAAATAAGTTGCACAATAGGTTTTTCCCAGGTCCCTCTTGTGACCCTTCAACCCCCACACACACGACATTTAGCTTTAATAAGTATTCAAACCTCACGCTAACCAATTTGACAGGTTTGGCATCAATAAACTCATCATCATATACATGAAGGATGACATTGAGTGGGTGAGAATGATAAACTCCAGTCAAGTCCATATCCTCCTTGGCACGAGCCTTCTTAGGCCACTTCCTCCTCCTCTGCCCATCATCCTCTTCTTCAGGTGCATCCCCCTCCAATTTACTATCCTCCACATTTGCATGGAGCCCTGACATATGATATGGAAAAACAAAGAGTAATCCCAAGGTGAAAATTACGGAGAACCATGTAGAGCAACATGCACTTTGGTTAGAAGCAGTGACTACATACCAACATCTTTGTTTGCCAGTTGTTGCGCAAAAGCTTGGGCATCTTTTACACTTCCAGTAATTTCAACATCAATATTTTCCCCGAATGCTTCTTTATGTGCAAATAACTGTGAGTAAATCACATATAAAGGGGGTGGTAGCAGCTCCGCTGATTGATGCTGCTTCATTTTCTTGGTATGCAGAATTCCCAGCTGCTGTTGAACTGGTAAAGATGCTTTTTTAAGTGATTTCAGATGCGAAGGAAGACTTGATAAGAATTTCTTGCGGTTAGCAATAGTCTCTTGAAGAGTTCTTTTACGTTGTTCTAGTTCTTCCCGCTGTCTACAAAGTTGTTTTCGCTGATAAGCAGTACAGAGAAAAAGATAAGAGCTACTAAGTTTGCAACTCTGAAGTACCAGTAATAAAGTTCAATATTGGATTGATGTACAAATTCATTTGTCATGAAATTCAAAATCTTTCATATTGCATAACATTGGAAATTAACTTTCACCAAACTTTAAAAGAGAAATTGCATGCATGGAAAAAAGAGGGTCCTTGGAACTGAAAATGATTAGCCACCAATGAGGAATTTCACTGTTGTGTGTTTCAGGCTAACAAAGTTATATCTCAATATGATACATGTTTCAGAACCATTGCATACTATGAAACTATGTATGTCTTAGTGACTGCAAGCTATCGCTAGTGGAAGTGCTCCTGCTACAGGATCAATGCTTCCCAGGAGCTACAGAACTTTTCAGGCAATGAGAAATGCTATTCTACCTTCAGAATCCTAAATGCTAGTAACATTGTTTGACACATAGAAGGGACTAAAAAACAATTGCACTTTTCAATGGAAATAGCTAGAGACTCCACACAGGACCCTGTCACAAACCACACGGAACATTTTGATAGAGGTTGAATCATAACAACACAAAAGACTCCCACAAAAATACAGGACCCTCCCAAAAACAACCAGAAATATCTAAATATCACGTGAAGTCGTGAACAACTATTGTAAGAGAAAATAGCCATAGGAGATGACCACCCATGTGACCACCCATCCTCAGCAGAACAAAAAAGTCCATTATCTGGAGATTCTCAAAGAGCAAATTTCATGCATGAGATCTTGAGAAAACTCAAAGGAAAAATAAAAAAAAGGGAAAAAGTTAAAAATGTTATAAAATATTTCAAAACACCTTGGGAAAATACAGAAAATATCAAGAATTTAGCTTGAATATACAATAAGAAATTAAAAATCATGTAAGTTTTTGTAGATTTCATTGGTTTATGGCGAACATAATCTGATGCAATTTTGAATGATATTGATTATTTCTAGCAATGTAGCACATGCCTCTTCAACAGTCAAAACCACCCAAAATATAGAATTGCAGATTATCTAGGAGCCCAAAAATCATAGAACCATTGGAAGCCTTCCAGAAGCACAATGTGAAACAAGAACCACCTGAAACCCCAATTTTTAGCATGGGAAAATGATGGACTGCCGATCTTGGCTTCCTAGGGACAAGTACCCATGACAAGATATCTAAGGGCCACAATTAGCAGCCATTTTGGAAACTTCAGAAGAAGCAACCAACATGAAGCTACTATATCCAAGAACAATAAGGCCAGCAAAACCCCAATAGGGATGGCAGCCCTCATGCCTAGGGCTGGCAGTGGACCTGTACCTGACCCGGGACCCGGCGGGTATACCGACACAGATCCGGGTATGGGTCCAAGTTTTGGACCTGCGAGTAGGATCTCGGTCCAATATATCATACCCAAATAGTCTCGAGTAAGGGTACGGGTCCAGCAGGACCCGACCCCGTATTTCTCTTCACTCTCGTATTCTCTTCACTTGCACTATCTCTCTCTAGTGCGTGAGAGTTAACGGGATAATAAATGTACTCAGCATGACCTAAAATCACCTCGAGAAACTTCACTTCTAACACTATCATTAAGACTCCCCATGTGGCGCCCAAAACCCCAACCCACTATATTATTATATTATATACACCAGTGTTTTAAAATGCGGCTGCATCATGCGGGATGCGCTCGCATCCGCATCGCGATCAAGCGCATATGCGCTTTTGACAAATGCGGCCGCATATGCATCGCATCAGGCCGCATCATGGCCGCATCCCGCATTGCACCACATCAGACCGCATCTCGCCGCATCTGTTTCCGTGAAAAAAAATTCGATTTTGCCCCTCGAGGAGGGGCAAAATGGTCTTTTTGTAGTTCCGAAGTTTAGGGAAACTGTTTGGGGGGTTACTATACCCCCTAAACGAAGATTTCCAGCCACTTTGTGGCTTTTTTTGCATCAAATTGAAGGGAAAAAAAAATTTGGCAAAAATGTTTTTTTCATCCAAATCTTCGATTTGGCGGTTGTTTGATACTTGGATGTTCATTTGATGCTTTTGATTGTTGATTTGGCAATGTTAAGGTGAATTTGTGGTAAGAAATTGGGGATTTCAGAGGGCGTGAAGAAATCGAGCACTACTTCATAGAGTCAATAACGTTTTATTCCTTCTTGTACAATAATACTGTTATACTTATTTTTGGGGCAATGTCTTCTTCCCAATCTTCTAGTAACAAGGATCAAGCTTGGAAATATGCTAAACTAAAAAATCCGAAAGATAGAAAGTGTGTGATATGCTTGCTCTGTGGAAATACTTCTATGGGTGGTATTTTTCGACAAAAAGAGCATTTAGCCGGAATTTCTGGGAATGTAAGAGCATGCCCACAAGCTACAGATGATATAAAAAAGGAGATTAGAGAATATTTGGATAGATTGAAAAAAGATAAAGAGAGAAAAAAAAAGAAAGAAAGGAATTACTAGATGATTTGCAATTATTTGATGATGTTGATGATGATGATGATGATGATGATGATGATATGTCTGAAGTTGCTATGAGGCAAAGGGGTACTCATACCCCAACCTCAAGAGAGAGGGTTATAAATATTGGTGGTAGTGCTAAGAGAAGAACACCTCTCTCTAAAGGGCCAATGGATTCTTTTTTCACCCCTAGTCCTGAAATTGTGGTTAAGGAGAGAAAGAAAAAACAAAACAAACCACAATTGACAATAACTATAAGAAAGAACAAAGGAAGTCGGTATGTAAGTGGATTTACATGGCCGGCATTCCTTTTAATACTACAACTCTGGAGAGTTTTGCATGTATGGTCCGGGCAATTGGGCAATATGACCCAGGACTTATTCCTCCTTCACTACATGAGGTTAGGGAGCCATTGTTGAAGGATGTTGTATTTGATGTGAATAAAATTTTGATTTCTCAGAGAGAAGGGTGGGAGAAATATGAGGCCACTATTATGTGTGATGGTTGGTCCGATGGGAAATCAAGGGCATTCATTAATTTTTTGTTTAACTGCCCAACAGGTACTTTTTTTGTTAAGTCTATTGATGCATCGGACAAGTCACATGATGGTATATACTTATCTGGCTTGATGGATGAGATTGTCGATTTTGTTGGGGAGCAAAATGTGGTACAAATTATCACTGACAATGGTGCCAACTATGCTGCAGCTGGGCATTTCTTGACTTTGAAAAGGAAGAATATGTTTTGGACTCCTTGTACAGCTAACTGTGTTAATCTTATGCTTTAGGAAACGGGTACAACATCTTTATTTAGTGGGGTGATTTCAAGAGCTATGTATGTTGTTGGATTTATTTACAATCACACAATAGTCCTAAGCATGATGAGGTCTTTTACAAAAAAGAGAGAATTAGTGAGACCGGGTATCACTAGATTTGCCACGTCATTCTCACTCTTCGAAGCCTAACCAAGCAAAAAAGTGCCTTGAGGACCATGTTTGCTTCAGAGCAATGGAGTCAAAGCAAATGGTCAAAGCATAAGGATGGGAGAAAGGCTGAAAAAATTATTCTTAATACATATTTTTGGAGTCAAATAATTATTGTATTGGAGGTGGCTCGCCCTTTAGTGAGAGTGCTTCGACTGGTTGGTGGTGATGCGAAGCTCGCCATGGGCTACATACATGAGGCAATGACTAAGGCAAGAACTGAAATAAAAGATGTTTTAAAGGATGATGAAAATATGCGCAAGGCTATACTTGAAATTATTGATACGAGATGGGATACCCAGCTTCACAGGCCCCTCCATTCAGCCGATTATTTTCTAAACTCATCTCTTCACTACAAGCACCCATCCATTGAGTCAGATCGTGTAATAAATGGTGGGTTCTTAGATGTGCTGGAGAGGTTGGTGCCAGACAAAGATATCCAAGATGAGATCCAGAGCCATGCATTGATTAAGTTCAAGTTAGCCTTGAGAAACTTTGGAAGAGATATTGCCACTCGAAATAGGGACACTACAGATCCAGGTAAAGGCCAAAAGCCCAAAAATAATCTTACATGTCTCTTACTTTATGTATAGTTCCATTGTTTATTTTATACCCTTAATTTTTAACTATATTCTAAATTATAAAATATTATACAGCTGCATGGTGGGCATTATATGGAAGCGAGACACCAAATCTACAACGTCTCGTTATTCGAGTGTTGAATCTCACATGTAACTCATCTGGTTGTGAGCGCAATTGGAGTGCATTTGAGCATGTAAGTTCTTTACTCCTTATTCCTTAATCCTTATTCCTTATTTCTTGAATTTCAATTTTCTAATCTAAAATCTAATTTATCTGATTTCAAATTTCTACCACAGCTTCATACAAAAAAAAGAAATAGGTTGGAGCAGAAAAAGTTGAATGATTTGGTTTATGGTGCAAATTTGTGCTGATGGTTGTTGATTGTTGAATGCTTTATGAAGCTGGTTTCAAGTTTCTAGTTTCTATCAGGGGATAGTGGATAACTGGATACAGAATCTCCGACAGCTAATAGTTTGGAAGTTAATCATTAAACTAAAATACCTACTATCACATATATCACCTTCATATTTTTTTCTATGCATTAACTTATTTTTTTAGATTGTTTAGAACTTTTTACATTTATTGACCGCATCATCGCGATGCACCCGCATCTGGGCTGCATCGAGCCGCATCGGCCCCCCACCGCATCAGGGCTGCATCCCACATTTTAAAACACTGATATACACACCAAACCCCTCAAAATCGTAAAGAGAGAGAAGGGACAGAGAGCAAAGAGCCAAGCTCCCCCCATGCTGTCTCAGAACAAGTAGATAGAGAGAGAACTTCACAAAGATTTCTCACCTGCGTTTGCAAAAAGAGGGAGATTCCTCATTTCTCGAAGAGAGACATTCTAGTGTTGTTTGTAGAGAGAGAGTGAGGATCCTCTCCAAGCAACAAGAGAGAGAGCATTCTACTCCCTACTATCATTCACAAAAGGAGCAAACAAAGTAAGAATCAGA